GTTTTTTTTCCCATTAATTCATAAAAATGGTATGTACACACTATAGTTGTTACTGTCAGTGGCAGACCACACTTTCATATAATCGTATTTAAGATAAGAATAAAAAGGTCTATGGAATAAAGCAGTATATTAAATGCATTTGTAAAGAAAATACAGTCCAGTGACTCAACGGTTTGGAAATATGGAAAAAGGCAGAAAGGCTGTTTTGTAAACAGTAATTGGAAAATGGTAAGATCAAATAAAATGAATAAAAGTGGGCTGATAGCGGCTTACCGGAAAGAGGAATTGATTCCTAGGCAAAGAAAATTAAATCGTTTTTTACAACAATACTCAAGTTACCTAGAATTCCAAGCATGAATGATGGGAAGAAACAGAAGCCTGACAACCGATACTTGTATTTTAGTGCAAGATATAGGTCTAGGGCTTCTTTTATAACAATACGGCCTAGTTTTATCAAACTAAACAATTCCAACAACCTTTCTAAGTATGCAGTCAAGATAATCCTCACTACAATTTACAGAATTTAAACATAAAACGTGTAACAGCTGTCGCAGCACTAAAACAATGTTTTAACAAAAAATTTAGACAATGAGGATGTCCTCCGATTTATCCCTGAACTGATGTGAATCTTATACAAATCTGTCACAAATAGTTCAATTAAGTGAGTTTACCAAGTGAAACGTAACATTGGCAAATTAAACTCTTACATCGTATGCTGGATGAATAATTATGACAGAAATGGCTGTTACTAAGCAGTCATATTCGAGAATTACAACATGGCATGAATTTGTTCTAGTAATGCTAATTATAGCTTTATTATTAGAAATATCTGATTATTATCTCTCTTTTGCTCTCTCTCGACACTCCCTACACAAAGTGTGTGTAGGGGTTGTTGAGAGTGTGTGTTTAGAGAATGTTGTATGTGTTTGCTTACAAGGAATGTAGTGTGTGCATGATGGATCCAGAGTTTGTATGTCAGGAATGTAGTGTGTGTAGGTGGTGCAGTGTGTGTGTGTAGGAGATCTAGTGTGTAAAGGACCCAGAGTGTGTATTTTATGTTTGGATGTATTGGGTATATGTGTGAAGGGTGCAGCATGTGTGTGAGGGGTGCAGTGTGTGCGTGTAAGAGGGGTGCTGTGTGTGTGAGGGTGTTCTTATCTGCCGTCACATTCTATGTTTCTAATTGTCTTTGCCTGTTAACTCACTGAGGGTTAATTTATATATTATATATGTGTGTGTTTGTGCTGTATATGTGTAAGAGTGTGCTGTGTGTTTGTGTGAGGGTGGTGTGTGTCGGAGTGAGCTGTGTGTGTCGGATAGTGCTGTGTGTATAAGGGTGCTGTGTGTGTATGAGGGTGCTGTTTGTGTATGAGGGTGCTGTGTATGTATGAGGGTGCTGTGTGTCTGAGGGTGCTGTGTGTGTCTGAGGGTGCTGTGAGTGTATGAGGGTGCTGTGTGTCTGAGGGTGCTGTGTGTGTATTAAGTGATGTGTGTATGAGGGTGCTGTGTGTGGAGGAGGATGCCGTGCTTCCCTGTTGGTCTCAGTGGTGAGAGTGAACTCTAGCCTGAGATCTGAGCGTTGCCGTGGTAACCGTGGCAACGCTCAGAATCCCACAAGAATCCTCCTGCCTCCCTCGCTCCCCAGCTGGCATAGCAGTGCCTGTGGGCTGGTGAGGGAGATCCTTGATCACCCCACCGGCCCACGAAGGCACACAGCAGGGCCGGCGCTCGGGTAGCGCGGGCCCTGCATGGGCCGGCCGGGAAGATCCGGTGATCTCCCCTGCCGGCCTTGGCCCACGCCCATGGTGGCCCACAAGGCATTTACCCGGTATGCCCGATGGCCAGTCCAGGTCTGCATGGTGGTCTCTAATGGAATTACAGCCTTTAAGGAGACGGGGGAGAAGCAGGTCTGCGAATTGTTTATAGTAGCGTGTGGGGAGTCTGTCTAAGTCTGGGCTCTTGCCCAGTTTTGTCATCTTAAGAGCCCCTGCTAGTTCCTCTATGGTCGGTTCTTCTAGTGAGGCAATTGTGTACATGGCGGTCCAGGTATGTCATCAGGGTGGCATCTTTCGTTTTGCTCCCCTGTTCCGGTGTGCGCTGTGGGAGGGAGTATAGCTGTGGGTAGTAGTCTTGTAGTGTTTTGGCTATGTCTAGTGGTAGGTATGTCAGTTTATTGTCAGCCCACCTAATCTTAGGGATATAAGTGGTCGCTCTCCATTTGGCAATCATGCGGGCCAGTAGTGCCCCACGTTTGTTTGCATTAGTGTGGAAAAATGTTTTCGTTTGGAGGTATTGCCTTTGGTAGGAAGCATTTAGGATGGTGGATATCTGTTGTCTCGTTTTCCCAAAAGTAGTGGGTGAGGTGTTGGTGAAAGTCTGCTGTCACCAACGGGTCAGACAGAAGCGCCACTGTCTAAGAGCTGGTCTGTAGAGGGAGGTTGAAAGTGTCATAAATATCGTGGCATGGTCTAACCACATTGCCGTCCAGATGTGTGTTTTTTTTTCATGTCTGTGAGAAAGTAGTGTGGTAAGAAGAAGTAGTTTAGCCTTTAGTATGTCTGGTTGGGTATGGAGAAGAATATATAATCCCAGTCGTCTGGGTATTTTGCTCTCCAGCAATCTACCAGTCGGTGTTCCTGTAGGCAGGTATTGATGGAGTTAATAACGAGTGCCCTCAGAAGGTTCAGTCATTCAGGTGGTGGCGATTGAGGGGGTTCTTCTCGGCCTGGTGAGGCGTGGAGGGCTCCGACAGTGTGTAAGCCTCAGGCACCTCTTGAGAGGCTATGTCTGTCTGGGCTGTTAGGTACAGTCTCATCGAGGCGGACAACGAGGCTTGGCGGGTCCCGGGAGGTTTGAGGTTACCCCCAGGTTTGTTGTGTTTGCCCAATCAGCGGCAGCTTTCTAGCAGTTGACAGCCTAGGGATCGGCAGAGCATAGCTTCACACGTCCATCTTGGTGAATCACATATTATAAATCAAATGAATAGAGAAGATACAAAATAAATAATTGTACCTCATTAAATCTTGAGACTGTGGATGCTGTACTTCTGTGCGGATTACCTACGTTCCCAAAATAACAAATATAGGTAAGTAGGAAAAAAAAAAGAAAACCATACTCAGAAGATATCAAATAGTATGCAGGAAGCAAATCCTTTATTACAAGTCTATTGATACAAAATAAAGCATTGCTAAAAAATACAGACCTAATAAATGGGAATAGATTAAAAAAAATAAAAGCAAAGTTTACGCAGCTGTAGGAAGGAGGGGGGAGTTAGCAAAAAAGCTGTGAAAACACTGGACGCATTTCTCATTTAGAAACATTCCCAATATAAATAAAACAAATTAACACTGTGTATTAAAAGGCCGAGAGGGGGAAACAACGCCGTCCTGCACAGCATGATTCAATAAATTATACTAGATTGTAGCACCTTTAGAGTGTGTTTGTTCTGATTTATATTGATAACTAAACTCACAATAACTGATAACTTAAGATGTTTTCTTAAAAACATCTCTTAAGAACATGCTCTGCTGTTCGTCCTAAAGCTCTAAATCTGAACAAAAAAATCCTCCATGAGAATCTTCATGAAAAAGATGGTGTTCCTACCATTGGTGTATAGCAATAATGTAAAGGAAATATGGTGGCGCTCGATTAGTGTGTATGTCCCACAAAAATAATCATGCAAAGATAAGCTCAGCTCCCAGCATACCTGGAATGGAAAAAAAAACACTAAATATATATTTTAAATAATCTAGCATCTGATTGCTTATTAATACCTTCATACATGTTCTATTATTTAAAAAGATATTTAATGAATGCTAAACAGCCAATAATGTTTCAACTCTCGTTCAGTTAAATAAAAATTCACATAAGCCATGACCAAATATGTGTTTTGGATCAGTTGCTCCAGGAAGACTTAATTTGTAACATACACAGACCATGATTTGAACCAAATTTTGATTGTTTGAAAACCTCAAACAGAACAATTACATAATAAGAACATTTTCTTTTATGTTATGCCTAATTTAATAATTCTTAATAAAACATTATTGGTCTTTTTATATGAAGAATATCATTAATTGTGTGTGTTTTCATACATCTGTATTATTTATTATAGAACTTCGAGGAAAAGTTAAATATAAATGTTTAGAAAATGTAATGTAACATACAATATTACATTGGTTCTGGTAAAAATATTGGTACAAGATTAAAAAAATAATATCAATTTAGGTTTGAAAAGAAAAGCGGTCTCCATATAGAATATGCTTACACATACATATTAAGATGAGAATAAAGGAATTTCTAACTGTCCAACTTCTTAGTAGTCAATAGCGTGACAGAACAACAGGGGCCTTGTGCATAAATATTTCCCTTCTTTTCAACCTTGCATGTGTCTGCTCTAGTATTTGCTGATGATGCAAAGAAAATCTCTGTTAGTTTCATAAGAATAAGGCTTCTCTTTTGGATTTTGCTTTTTATTTAGATAAAAGGAATCCATTGTGATGTTGTAGCATCAGTGCATGCTGTACAGTGACTGGTGTATAAATACTTTGAATATTACTGAATAGGCCTTTTGCCAATAAAGTTCTATAAGTGATCAAACCCCCGGGGCATCTTTTCTTAACTTTTTAAATTTTTAATAAAATATGCTGAGAGAGCATTTAAAGACAAGGGCCGGTCCAACAATTTTAGGGCGGCCTGGGGGCAATTGCCTCCCTGAGAAAATTGAGCTTAAGGCATAGTTACACCCTTACAGTTAAAGCTTCTGTTCTGTGTTTATCTTGTATTTTTTATTTTTTTTTCTTAGATCATGACTTTACAACTAAAGCATTTAGCTCCATTATTTCTCTAGATTTTTAACATAATAACATATAAAGTTCGAACTTAGTTAATTTTGCTGTTGACGAAGCGCTAGGTAAAACAGCCTGTCATCAGTACACGTGTGTATGAAATATGTTGTATTATGATGCAGTAAAAACATTAAATTTTTTGTCTTTGTTTAGATATCACCAACACGATGTGACTTACCATTTTAGCGAAAATAAAATGGATGTAGAAAATTTCACGGAATATAATTGTACTTCGGAACAACTAACAAAAGGGATTACCAGCAAAATTCTGGTTTCGCTCACTTTATCTATATTGACATTGATGACAACTGCAATAAACTCCCTTGTAATTGCTGCGATAATTGTGACACGGAAACTCCATCATCCTGCCAACTATCTGATATGCTCTCTGGCAGTGACAGATTTTCTAGTTGCTGTGTTGGTGATGCCTTTTAGCATCATATATATCATAAAGGAAACGTGGCTTATGGGACAAGTGGTCTGTGATATCTGGCTAAGTGTCGATATAACATGTTGTACATGTTCTATATTGCATCTCTCAGCTATTGCACTAGATCGTTACAGAGCTATTACAGATGCGGTGGAATATGCCCGGAAAAGAACTGCTCAACATGCCGCAATTATGATTACCGTGGCATGGGTACTCTCTATTTTCATTTCGATGCCGATTTTGTTTTGGCGTCACCAAAGCAACAACAGAGAAGACGAATGCCTCATTAAGCATGACCATATTGTATTCACCATTTACTCTACATTCGGAGCATTTTATATCCCACTGACGCTGATACTTTTGCTTTACTATAAAATCTATAGAGCAGCAAAAACATTATATCATAAACGGAACATCAGTAGAGTTGAAAAAGAACAAAACGGCCAAGTCCTTTTAGAAGCTTGTGGAAAAAGTTCGACTTTGTGTATAGCGGAAAAGTCTTTTTCAGATCATTCAACTGATTTTGATAAAATCCATATTACACTCAGGAGCACAAGAGCAGAAATAAGACATGAAAAAATTTGGAGAAAACAAAAAATATCTAGCTCAAGAGAACGTAAAGCAGCCACTACGTTAGGATTAATTTTGGGGGCCTTTGTTATTTGCTGGCTTCCATTCTTTGTAAAAGAAGTCATTGTGAACATTTGTTTAACATGTTACATCTCCGATGATATGTCAAACTTTCTTACTTGGCTTGGTTACCTCAATTCCCTCATTAACCCTCTAATCTATACCATCTTCAATGAAGACTTTAAAAAGGCATTCCAAAAATTAATGAGATGCAGACATTAAATGTGAAAAAATACTTGAAGTTTCTTTTTTTTAAACTTAAAAATTTAAATGTTGTACCTGTGTCAGCAACATTACAAAATATGAATTAATCTGATTATCTCCATAGAGTCATATGTGACCATTATTTCCAGATTAAAATGTATCCGTTGTTTTACACAAAAGGGACACTCTAAGCACAAGTACCAAAATTAAGTGATTTTGGTGAATAGAGGCTGCCCCTGCAAACTTGCAGATGAAAACAGTACCATTTTGGAGAAACAGTCTAAATTTTGGAATTCCCACATAGTCACTAAAGGATTTGGACTAAAATAGATTCAATAAATTAATCTATTTCATGTCTGGCATCAGCATATCAAGTATGCCGATCCTGGATGATGAGTGTGTGAAATATTGCATTCAATGCTTCTCACAGATTAGATTGGTGGATTATGGTGATTCACATACCTATGCCATACATCCTTCTCTTTTGATCATTTAGAAGGGGTTTAAAACCAAAAAGAGGGGGACCAGTATTTAAATCCAGTAAAGGACACTAGTAACTGAAAATTTGAGTGTAAAAAGAGTGCATCTTTGTTATGAAACAGATAAGCATGCTTTATTTTCAGCCAAAATATTAATAGTCAATACTATTACTGATAGAACATACATTTTTCAGTAGTGGCCTTACTGTAAAGTTAAAAATATATACAAAATACAGATTAAAGAAAAGCATAATTTTACAATGCTACGTAAAGTCACCTATCTTTGCAAAGAAATATGGGGATACAGTTCCATCATATGGCAATATTGTGGTAAGCCCACCACTAATTCACAGTTCCCCAATATCGGTGGGTACTACACTAATTTTAATATGGGAGATAGACATGCTAACTGCAGTACTTACTGCTTAAATTACTTCCAGATACTCTCCTTAAATGTATGCTTTCCTGTGTTCACCTTCAAAGGGGTACATAGAAAAAAGGGAATTGAGGGCACACCTGGAACATGCCTTTCTCAGTAACAGTGTGGCATAAAAAGATCAAAAAATTATATAAACTACAGATTAGGGAACAGAACCTAAAATAACTACAAAAACACTTAATCAGACCAGATGCCTTTTGGGTTGAGCACCCTACCCCTCCACTACAGGTGTCCCTTTGGAGATGACCATAGGGAAACATACATTTAAAGGATCACTATAGAATCAGGAACACAAACATGTATTCTTGACCCTATAGTGGTAACACCACCATCTAGCCCCCCTGGGCCCCTCATGCCTCCATAAATATAGAAATCTTACTGTATTCAAGCCAGAAGCTGTAGATCTGCATACTGTTAGACTCAGAAAAAAGCAAGCAGTCTGCTGACATCATCAGAAGTGGTAGCCTGATCTAATCACAATCCTCCCCCATAGGATTGGCTGAGACTGACAAAGAGGCAGATCAGGGGCAGAGCCAGCATGATTCAAACACAGCCCTGGCCAATCAGCAACTCGTCATAGAGATTAATTGAATCAATGAATCTCTATGAGGAAAGTTCAGTGTCTGCATGCAGAGGGAGGAAATACTGAATGTTTGGATGCATTTTAGGCAGCCATGACCCAGGAAGGATCTCTAACAGCCATCTGAGGAGTGACCAGTGAAGTTATCACTAGGCTATAATGTAAACACTACATTTTCTCTGAAAAGACAGTGTTTACAGCAAAAAGCCTGAAGGTAATGATTCTACTCACCAGAACAAATTCAATAAGCTGTAGTTGTTCTGGTAACTATAATGTCCCTTTAAGGAGAGTCTCTGGAAGCAGTAAGTATTGCAGTTAGCATGTTTATCTCCCATGTTAAAATCCATGTTAGGACCCACCGATATTGGGGTACTGTGACATAGTGCTGGGCTTATTACAATATGGCACAACTGTGTAAGTGAATACCCAGATTTGTTTGCTAAGATAGGTGATTTGAAGTAGTCTTGTAAAATGTTAAACTATATATTTTGTTTTTGCGTGTGTGTTTCACCCTAATCTGTATAATTCAAGATATGTTGTCAATGTAATGTGCATTTCTCTTTTATTCAACATTATGAAATGCTTTATGTGACAAATGCAATATATTGTGGTGTATGGAGTCAATAGCATAAACTATATGGTTCATTCATTAAAATTATGAATAGAGTTGTGTTGAATTTAAAATTGAATTGCAAAATTCATGACTACAGTTTTTTCTATACCAGCATGCTTAGCTTATTAAAATCAATTATATTCCCTATAATCCTCTGTTCATCAAATAATGTCCTTTTTTTAATTCAGCCATTTACCTTAAATTGTTTACATTAATGTTGGTTCATTATGATTCACTGTTTAGTGAATAAACTCTCAAAATAATTTTCCATTGGCTGAGATATATGCAATACATATAATGTATTTTTTTTACGTTTTAGCAATGTATTTGCAAATCCAAGACTCACCAATCACACTGTTACTATTTATTCCAGTTATCGATACAAAATAAAAAGGCAGGTGAGTAAAATTAGTGTTTTAATCCACACCAAGTGGCAGCGTTTCAGCTACAATAAGCCTTCATCAAACAAAGCCAGCTCAGAGCTATAGGAAAACATAATGATATTTGCCAAAAGTGCCAATTCTTATAGAATTGTGCCCAACAAGAGTGCCATGACTTACAAATGATCACCACACATGACCATGTAGCCTTGCTCTTGACTGTCAAAGAGCCCATTTAACCAACAATAGTGCCCTGAGCCCAATGTCTCTAGCAACCATGTCTCACAATGTATAGCAAAAGGGCTACTTTTCTGGGGTGAGCAAAATTAACACAATTTTAATGCTAAAGTAACCAAGTTTAAAAAACGCAAGGCTTGATAACATAAACTCTAAATTCCATGTTCAGGTTTAAATCTAAGTCCAACAGCATTTTAAAACTAAAATTGCATGCCTTTTATTATAGTTTTGATATTGGGTTGTTGATGTCATAATATAGGGCAGGCATAGGCAACCTTCGGCACTCGATGATGCTTTGCCAGCATTATGGGGGATGTAGTCCACAACATTTGGAGTGCCAAAGGTTTCCTATCCCTGATCTAGGGCTATCATTATGTAACAGAATCATGGGATGGAGTTGGATCTCTTTAAAGTACTTGTTTGATTCCCAATAAGTGTATTTATATGTTTATGGTGTTAAACTAGACATGACCTCGTATATAGATAACATGTTATATAGTGCCAGTTTTGAGACTACTAAAAATTAGAGATGTCGCGAACTGTCCGCCGAACTGTTCGCGAACTGTCCGCCGGCGAACAATAGCGTGTTCGCGTTGGGCGAACATATCCGATTTCCGGTCCGCCCCCTATACGTCATCATTGAGTAAACTTTGACCCGGAACCTCACAGTCAGCAGACACTTCCTGGGAGGGAGGGTCTGCTGCTGATTGGGTGGAATGTGTCTGCTGGCTGTGAGGTTCCGGGTCAAAGTTTACTCAATGATGACGTATAGGGGGCGGACCGGAAATCGGATATGTTCGCCCAACGCGAACACGCTATTGTTCGCCGGCGGATAGTTCGCGAACAGTTCGGCAGACAGTTCGCGACATCTCTACTAAAAATATGAGAGAAAGTTTGAAAATATCTGACAGCTCATTGGTTTGATATTTGGTTTGACATTGGTTTATATTTAATAATTCAAGTGTCTTACTACTAAAATTTTTCCATAACCTATAACACATTTAACTTAAGGTTTCTCCAGTTAGATTTAACATTACAATTAATGCTTTTCATAACATTTGTGGCAACATTTGTGTTGAAGTAGATTTTGTTTCTTTTATGACCCGAGTACTGTCTGAATGAAAATTATATGGTTAATGTTTTTGGCTTTTCATTTTGTATAATTATACAACATATGTCTGGCCGATTTTTAGATAATTATGGCTGACACAATAGCAACATAATCTAACAATTTCTGTGTGCATTTATGGCATTGCAACAAAATATATATTGTGTAACATTTTTTCATAGTATTTAATTGAATAAAAATAATATTTTTATGTTATTTGTGCATTACTTTTTCACAATATTTTAAAGAGCAGATACACATACATCCCCAGTGCAAAACATATATCACATTTTCATCTAATGCAATATTTTCTTTAAATATGTGGACATCAATTATTACTAGAAAATCCATTTGGCACTAGGAAAAACAATTGATGTGCTGTTTATTTTAACATAAGGATTGATTTAACAACATTTTTAGAAGTGCAGTATAAAAATATTTAATAATTCATTCACACAGTCATTACATAACAAATGGGAGTACAGCAAATAAATGTGAAAATATTGCGTTCTCTTGCATTATGAACTGTCTTGCATTTTACTGGCACAACTTTTTCTATGCTCTACATTTACTATGTAAAGACAATGTAAAAATACATATCTTCTATAAGTGATGGTTGGATGCTGAAAGGAACATGATGGTCATTTTTAAAAGTGAATAAGGTAAACCTGTATTGAAAAATTTTACTTGCTTTAAATTGCTCCCATATATATAGAATACACCGTATATCACAAAGATATATTGTGTATTCAATGTAAACTATAGAGATTTACATACTTTTCCTCTGTTGCAGCACCACTTCATAGGTAATTACTCTTTATGTAACACCCACCTCCGGGACATCGTTCGCTCTGCCTGCACTCCTCCCGCAGTCTTCTTTGATTTGCCCTGCTTGGAATGCTTCCCCAAAGCAGGGCAAATCTTTTCAGTGATGTCACTTCACTTTGTTCCTATTCTCCATAGCCAGCACCTAGTGGCTAGGGATTTTCCATAGCAACCACATCGCATGGGCTGTGGTTGCTATGAGGGATCTCCTATGGGAGCAAATCCCCTAGCACAATTTATCGATAGATTCTATTCTCAATCTAGTGAGTTCTTTGGGGCATGACAGGTCCCCTGTAAATATCTTATTATAATCTTTATATTGTAATATACAATCTCATAATTTTTTTTATCACTTGATAACCAGGTGCCTAATCCATCTTTAGGCACCTGTGGCTAGATTGTCAGTTATCCCACCAACTGCTCACTGTTTTGCAGCCGTCCATTGCTTTTCAATATTGCCTGACAAAAAGTGCTGAAGGCAGAAAAGGCACATGATTTAAAAAATCGTGGTGATTTGGAAAGCAATATGTGGTGGGTCAGTTAACTGACAGTCCATCTGTAGATATATAAAGATGGCTGTCAAAAAGTCATTTGTTTTTATTAAATTTAAATAGATGAACCTTTTTACGGTGTGAAATATGACAAATACAAAACAACAAACATGCATGAATTTAATTTAAAAGATGGTATAAGAGTTGTAAATGTGAAGCAGATCTTTTGAAGATTTCGAAAATATAAACAGAAACACGGTTTGGCATACAGCTGATAATCCTAAAAATCAATCGAAAGAAACACAGTGTGATATTGTTTACAACATAAACATATAATGCAGCAATAAGTTCCACTCACAAACATCAGAATTTCCAAACGTTTTGAGGTGCCTTCCGTGAACATGACGGGATGCTATAGCCTCCTCTTAGTCATCACTGAAGATATTGTTTGTGAAGTTATGCCAATTTATTTCAATTCTCAGCTTATGAAATAAATTAAAATAAATAAATGTTTTACAAATGCATTGAAGAAAAAACAGAGAATATGAGAAGTCTGAGAACAGGCAAAAACTCAGAGAAGCTCAATGGCTTGCCCTCAGTTAGGCCCCACTCAGGTCTTAATGTAGTTTTTGCTGACATATGCCATTACAAAGAGAAACCTATACCATTTATATATCAGACTGCTCCCTCCCATAAGGGCAGTCCAGATCTCAAATACCAGCAAGTTCACTTGTAACGGACCGTTTTGCTCACAAGAGGTTAAAAACCGTTTAGGCGATATTCCCCTTTCCAGATACACCGACAGCTACTGTAAGCACCGATCTCCCAAACTGGAAACACATGAACACTGGAAATATCCGAACAGGAAAACCATACGAAAGGGTTACACTCCTGGCAATAAGCATACAATCTAATTCCCCCAATAACGAGACGACACTTCGTTTGAGGGTCAATCAGAATCTGGGTTACTGGGGCTAACTGCCCGGCTTTTATGCAGGTCTCCCACCTGGAGGACACTCCCCTAGGGGACCAAATGGGAAACTGGGAAACATATTGGCTCTTAGCACATCACATACATACACCTTTAAACACTCCCACAATTACATCACAATCCCTCCTCTCTGTCCTGGAGATAATTGGGAAGAAATCCAATTATCTCCCAGGACAGAGGCAAAACTCCATTAACCACATGGCAGTAACAATACAGTAAAAGACATAAAATTACATACAGCCACATTTATTACCTAAAACATATACATTCTACATATCCCCAGACAGCTTAGATCTGAGCGCACATTACGACCGAATGGCGCTCAGATCACATACATACAGTTCAATCGCCATGGAGCCAAAGTCTTTCCCATAGTCTTTCGTTACACGAATAGGCTCCATGGCTTAGCTATTTGGGGGATGCTGTTCATCCAGCGAAACTACCGAATGAACAGTCATTCGGTTCTTCTTACCGAATGGGAAGGTAAGGAGGCTGGCGGCTCAGTGGTGTTCGCGCCAATAAGTGTCCATTTTCAGTTCCATAGTTTGGGCGCTGAACCCCGCTGGCCGTTCGGGAGGTAAAATGGCCGCTGCCACGTGTTCGGCAGACGAAC